TTAAATAAAATATTTTTTAAAATACTTTTAATTGATAAAGAAAATTATTATTTCTTTTATTTATTATTTTTCACTAACATAAAATCAATATTTTTTACATTTTTTTTGTACATACAAATATTTTAATATAAAAAAAATCTAAATTTTTTTTTGTTACATGAAAAATATTTATTATTGTAAAAACTTTACTACATGCCGAAATTTTAAGAGTAAAATATTTAAATTAGTATGATAATTTTTATTATTGCTTTAAATTTTTATCACTAATTAACTTAACGACTTTTTATTTGTTATCTTAATTTTGGATAGATTTCCTCTTGAAATTAATATTAGTTCATGTGATGCATAATTAAATTTTATAACTAACAATTTCAATTAAAAAAAAGTATTTTAGAAAACTATGAGCAAAAATTAATGATATAACATAACAATTAATAATTTTTTAAACCGTATGACAAGTCAAAGAAAATTATCTATTCAAAACACATATATTAATACTTACATAGTTATGTAATAGAAAGATAAACATAAAAATGAGAGATAATTAGATTTAAGTGAAAATATTTTTATTATTTTTAGTGTATCTGCATATATTTTATTTCTCTTTTTTGGATGCTTGTCTCTCTCTTCAAAATATATGAAGTAGGTATACATATTGCTAGTTACTACACGAATATTTTAAAAAATTCATCTATATTACGTTTTTTTCAGTTTTTATTGTTATTAAGTTTTTCAGAAATAGAAACTCCCCCTACTCATCATCAGTCATGCTCGATTAGAAACCAATGGATTATTTATGTTGAAGAGGATGAATTGTCACCTTAAATTTTTGTAATTTGCCGATGGTGGTTTCCAATTATCATAAAAAATTAAGTATATTTTATATTAAAATATCAATCAAAATAACCACTACTTGTAAATATTGTAAATATTAGAAAACAATAAATAACAATAATGAAATAGATTTAGAGCGTGCTTGTCAAAATATAAATGAGATCCGAATAGGTTATTACAACGTGTTTGGAATCCTTTGAATTGAATTTAATTTAATTAAGAAATTTCAACGAAATTTCATATTTGAAACCAATTTGAATATCAAAATTTGTGACAGTGGTTCTTGTAAATATAATTAGAAATAAATAAATAAATATAAGGAAATAAATTGGGTTTAGAGCGTACTCATCGTAATATAAACGAGATTTGAATAAATTATTCACAAGGTGTTTGGAATCTTCTAGATTGAATTAAATTTAAAAATTTTAATGAAATCTCATGTTTGAAACCATTTAGAGTGTCTATAATTCAATTAAGAGATTTTAATGAAATCTCATGGTACGTTAAAATCATTTCGAGTGTCAAGAATTAAATTTCTGCCAACCTTAATTATAAGAGTAAATTAGAGGCCGACCTTTCCATTACAACTTCAGTTGCCCCACCACCAAAACACTTTTCTTTTTTCATCTATCATCCCATCCCATCTCATATGGTTGTCCTCAATTTCGTGCCTTGCGTAGCTTTGATCAAAAAAGGGCTTTAGAGATGGTAGTTTAGTTTGATTTTGTGGGTTATTTATGGTGGTTGCGGTCGAGGAGAATTGGAAGCAGAAAGAGAGGTTATAATGGTTGAAGGAGATGAGTTCTTTTTTCTTGAAAAAATTTGAGAGATTTTTCGGAGGAAGAAGATGGAGGAGTAATATAGAAAATAAAATAAATCAAATTCAAAGATAGAATATATCTTCCAAACACTTGAATTCAACTTAGGCATCAACCGAATCCACTTTGACCACTATAATTGAATTCAATTTTCATAGTAAAATGGTTCCAAACAAACTGATACTTATTGAAAAGAAAAAAAAGATGATAGAGGAAAAATCAAATCATCTCAAGTAATTTTCTTTTCATTCAACGATAAATAGTATTTTCTAGTTGGTTCAAAAATGCATATCTTATCTTATACTAGCCATGCAAATTGATTTCAAGATTAAAAAAATAAAAAAAATTACTTTTCCAACCATCAAAATCAATTCCGTACAGTCCGTCCAAAAGCTATTAAAAAAAATTACAATTGACCAACATGTTACTTTTTTCTCTTTTACAATTAGGGTAAAAATAAAATCAATGTTTGGTGGGCACGGGACAATGGTCCCAGGTAGACAAACAAATGAAACATATGATACCATCCTCTGCCGCTTCATAGTTTCACACCATTTTTAAAAAAATGGTTAATGATTATAGGAGGTTTTTTTTTCCATCTTTATTATGTTAGTCTACTCCTTTTCATTTTATGTTCGATTTTTTATATTGATTTCTATGTCATTTTATTAATTTTTTTACGTTAAATTATGCTTAAAAGTAAAAATAAAAACTTAGAAAAAAAATTGAAGGTATATTCGACATTTTAACAACTTTTGAATGAATATTTCTGAAAAATCTTATAAAATTTTTATTTCTATGCTTAATTTAAATTAATAAATTCATAAAATAAGTAAATTATAATATATTTTTTTGAAGTATTATAAAATTTAAAAAATTTAATTAAAATGCTCTTGAAATTTAAAAAAATATTCTATACTCAAAATTTATTTACTGTCATAGAAATAAAAAATATTTTGGATGAAAAATTATATTCAATTTTTTAAATTTTTAGAAAAAATAACTGGATATGTCTTTTTTTTGTTTTATAAATTAATTTATTTAAATTTAGTAAATAACTGGATTAAAAAAGGAATAAATAAATAAAGTCTGACACGTGTGATAAACCTGTAATGTTAAAGATGTAATTTAACATCATTAATATAAAAGATTTGAAAAATATGATTATGATAGAAATCAATCATAAAAGAAGAGATTAAGATAAAAAAACAACAACAAAAATAAAATAAAAATCCAAACAACACTACAACCATGAAACCGTTTTAAAACTCAAGGATGCGTAACATAAGACCATACGTAACGATACATACAATAGTGAGAAAAACCTTTATTTTATTATTATTATTTATTTTAAAAGGAAAATCGTAAAAACATGAGCCAACAGCAGAGGAGAGATAAAATGGCCCACCAGCTTGACATAGAAATTAGGTATTTTCTTGGTAAGCACGAGAAATAAAAGGAGAAAAGAAAAAGACGAGGAGGATATTATTATTTGGTGGCAGCGAGCGAGCGAGGGTGAGCCTGCAGTTTTGTTTTGCAAAAATTTGGTTTCTCACTATAGAGAAATTATCTAATATATAGAGAGAAATAGAAGCTCTGGATTCCTTCTCATCCGTCCTCAGCGACGGTTCTTATGCCCCTTGGCTTTCAGGTTTTAACCTCTCGCACTTTCTCTCAATTTTTTTTTCTGTTTTTGTTATTCGAATTGGTTAGGATCTGATCAGATCGGGTCAGATCTATTCTCGGTTTGATTTGTGATTTATTTGGTTTGAATTAGGGTTTCTGATTAAATATATGTGAATTCTCAATTATTAGGGATTTGATTTAAGTGCTTTGGGGATTTGGATTCTAGTTAATTAATAATGTTTTATTTTAGATAAATCAGTTTGTAGGTTCGGTTTAACTGAAATGTTGAAATATGTTGTTTAACTTTCCGGGTTATGATTTTTGTTGTAGGCTCGTTTTTGCTGTTAGCACTTTATTATAATGTGAATCTATTGAATTTTTATTGATCTGGGTTCAAGTTATTTGTATTTTGAATTGATTGAAAGGAAAAGGAAGGAATTTTGGCTTTTTCACTTTAAATGAAGAAGAAAGGAATATAAGACGAAGTAATTCTTAGCTTAGAGCATGATGAATGAATGATATGCATCTCGTCTCAAGATAAATCCAACATATATGTTGATGTTGGTGCATTCGATTTGTCCTTGGTGATTGTTTATGTGCTAGTGTTTTTATATGCTGAGTGCATGTTATAAAAGACCAAGTTTTCTTCTTGGAGTTGTATACTGCTGATACTGATAGTAGGCATCCTTTTCTTTTAGGTTCTGCTGGGCTCAGATTTAAACAACTTAGTTTCCTTCCTTAAGACATGGAGAAAGTGTGCTACTGGTCAAATTGCTTCCAGCATCGGGTTTTTTCATTCCAAGAAGTGCTCGATTGGCGGTTTCTCATCCTTGGAGATTTTCTGTTGGTTTCCTTTGTTAATTGCACTTAGTGGTTGCTTTCTTTTTAATGAACAATATAGGAGGCGTGATGCAAAATTTTTCTGAGATAGGTGTTGGATCTTTAGTGCACTTGGTCAAGTAAGCAATCTGTTTGTTACCTTTTACCAATGCCCCATTCTAGGTTTTGTCTAACAGATTCTTTCATTTGTAGTGCATTGCTGATACCATATCCAGTTGAAGTTTTTGGCACGCCTTCCGGGGTATATCATCTGTTTGTTTGTTTGCTAAGTTTATCTACCCGGTCTCATATTGCTCTAACCTCTATGATGTTATTTGCAGGGCTAAAGTCTGCGAGGATTCAGTCTAAAGCTGCTAGGTAGTCAATTAGATAAACCATCACGTCAAATTGCTGCAGACTGTATAGTTCTTAGCTATCATTTCTTCTCGCTGCTCCTGATGGGTACTGGTTACATTGTTGAGTCATCGGTTCACTGAACGATTTCTACATAGTATAGATGAGTTAGCTTTTTTTGTGTTTGAACCCTTGGGTGACTGTCTTCAGCTTAGGGGATTGTCCTGTTGGCTAGAACAATCATTCTGGTTGGTTCTGAGTTTGGTCAATATGATTTGTGGTTTTCATGTGGCTCTGCTGTCCATGCCTTCATATTGTCTCGAAGCTGTGGTGCTATCAACGAATAAGGCCAGGAAGCTCGTTCATCCAAAACGTTATTGTTTTGTGCTCTTGTTTGTCTCCACAGAAAATTAGCTGGACCAGCAAGGCAGCTTGTTTAAATTTTACAGTTTCTATTATAGATTATCTACCGTAAATGTCGTATAGCCTTTTTCAAGTTTCATGCTATCCGTGAATAAAGAAAGAGCTCGTTTTTTTTCCACAAGAAATATGGAAAGGTATGTATGTTCCCATATGGCTTTTACTTTAAACTGTGTTGATTGTCAATTCCCTGGTAACTTTTTGGGCACCTGATATAGGTACAAGTTAATCAAGGAAGTTGGTGATGGAACATTTGGGAGCGTCTGGAGAGCAATTAATAAGCAATCTGGTGAAGTCGTAAGTGCATTGCTCCTTCTCATTTCTGCTAAACTGGTATTAGTATTGCTCTTGAAAAGTTAAAGATTATAATGATTTAACCAAAATTTGTGTGCTTGCTAACTACATATAGGTGGCAATTAAAAAGATGAAGAAGAAATATTACTCATGGGAAGAGTGTGTGAATTTGAGAGAAGTGAAGGTAGTATGATCAACTCAATACCCTTTTGTTTTTTGTGTTTTGCTATATTCCTTTTATCAACGAATGGTCTCTCCTTGTGACAGTCATTGCGGAAAATGAATCATCCAAATATCGTGAAGCTCAAAGAAGTAATCCGGGAAAATGACATTTTGTATTTTGTCTTCGAGTACATGGTAAATGCTTTTTACCTTTTTTGTTCATTTTGGGATTTCTTGCTTGTTATGTAAATTAATTTTTTGTATGGCTTTTATCCTTTTGTTTTGTTTCAGGAATGCAACCTTTACCAGCTTATTAAAGACAGAGAAAAGCTATTTGCAGAAGCTGATGTGAGGAATTGGTGTTTCCAAGTATTTCAAGGTCTTGCCTACATGCACCAGCGTGGGTATTTTCATCGTGACCTTAAGCCAGGTAACTATTATTGGTCTGGTCAAGATGTTGCATTTGGAATTACAGTAGAGAATGGCAGAGCTCGTTGAATGTTCCATGTGAGAAACTCCACATTGGACATGATTTTTTTTTCTCTTTAATATTTCAAGCATTACGTGTTCTCAAATAGGTCCCAATTTAGAATAACCCTGATTAAATTCATAGTTCTTATATATATCCATTTTTGTTTGTGTTTCATCTCAATGCTCATCACATGAGAGTTTGTTTCCACCTCATCATTTTCACCTCTGCACTATTGTGCTTTTGCTTCAGGAGTTTTCCATTTTCTACTGGCAAGTTGGTGACTGGATGTTTTTTAAGCTTTCACATGCTTTTTTAATTGATATTGCTTTTTATTCTCGTGGTCTGCTCTCAATGCTGCTAGTTTTTGTAATCAACATCTGGACATTTTCTATTTGTGCACCTTTTGACAGAGAACTTGTTGGTCTCAAAAGCCCTAATTAAAATTGCTGATTTTGGTCTTGCACGAGAAGTCAATTCACAACCCCCATATACGGAGTATGTCTCCACACGGTGGTATGTCTTCTTTTACCTTCTCATTGTTTTTTTAGAAGCTTTGCTTCCATGGAATTGAAAATGCACATGGCTGCTATTGTTTCTTACTGCTCTCTTCTGTCTTGAAATGCTAGGTATCGAGCACCTGAAGTGCTGCTTCAGTCGTACCTCTATAGCTCTAAAGTTGGTTAGTATTGGATGGACATGAGATTATGTTTTAACATTAATTATTGATTACAAATGACTTGCACATAATATTACATAAAGCACTGATATATATATACACACACACTTAGATATGTGGGCAATGGGTGCTATCATGGCTGAGTTACTCACTCTCCGGCCGCTTTTCCCTGGTACCAGGTATGGATCTGAATTGAATAATAGTTGACAATTACTTAGTTGGTGATTGGCTAGTCGTTTTCTGTGTGTTCAAACTTTTCTCTTTCACTATGCACACAGCGAAGCAGATGAGATCTACAAAATATGCAGTGTGATAGGCAGTCCAACAAATGGCACTTGGGCTGAAGGTCTCAATCTCGCAAGTGCTATCAACTACCAATTTCCTCAGGTCAAAGTTTCTTATTTCTCTCATCTAGCAGTGGTTCCTTACATTTGTCTATGTGGTTGTGGTGCTCAATGAGACGTGTGAAATCTATTGATTAGACAAAAACTATGAGTAAATGATAGAATGATGGCTTTTGTAAATTGCAAATTTGAATTGTGCTAGTCTTTGTTACTATCAGTCAAACATGGTGAATATATAATCTATGGCTTGTACATGATTCTTAGAATAATACTAATTTTTTAAAACCATCCTTGTCAATTTATGAATTAACTTTTATATCCGAAGAAAAGAGTCTGAAGTTTCATAATCTAATTTGAGACTGCAGTTTGCTGGTGTTCACCTTTCTGCACTTATACCATCAGCAAGTGAGGATGCAATCAACCTTATCACGGTTAGTACTATTTGTAGAGGCTATGGTTCCTCTTTATTCTTTGCAAGCAGGCACTATATTCTTAAATAATGATATTTTATTATAAAACAATCCGTAATCTTCCTTAGTGGCTTGTTCTTTCTTGATGGTTCCTTTTTTTTTTTCTTTTCTTTTGAATGTAGTCTCTCTGTTCCTGGGATCCCTGCATGAGGCCTTCGGCTGCAGATGCTCTACAACATCCCTTCTTCAAGGTAGCCTCTTTTGTGTCTTCATATTTTGAAACAAGATTTCCATCTATTTGTGTGCTTGTGCATGTGTTATTTTTGCATTGGTGTGCACTTTGTCATTTCAACAACCAAATTCATTGGTATAATATGTTTTGGCAGAGTTGTTTTTATGTTCCACCATCCCTACGTCCCAGAGCATCCATTTCTAGAACTCCTCCATCAGGTTTGTCTTGTATCCTGCACTGTTGGTTTCATGAAGTTATTTCCTTAGTTGAGTTCTTTGCTTCATGAATCTTACATGCACAAATGTAATTCTTGACTTCTATTCAGCTGGAACAAAGGTAGGATTGGAGCAACAATGTGCTAGGAGGTTACCAGGGGCTTTGTCTAATTCAAAGCTTACCAACACTTTTCCTTCTCCAAAGTTACATGCTTCTTTGAGTTCAGGTTGGTATAGTTTTTATGATTTCAGAATCCCTTTGTCTAGCCAATTTTTTTCAAGAAAACATGAATACCAATTTCACTATAGTACTAATATAAACATTAAGATGATATAGTTTAGATCATTGTGTGATAGTTTTCATTGCTTTGTTACAAAATTTGCATAAAGTTCAAAGCAAACCATTAGTTGCTCAGCAGGTCTTGACTGAATTTGTGGTATGTTATATTCTAACATAAAGATGATTCTTTTTTTTCTTTTTTTGTCAGGAGTGCAACGCAAGCTGGATATGGTTAACCAGGTATGCATCTGTTTGTTGTACCCTAAGGAGTGCGTGTTTCTTCCATTGTCATTTGCATGGTCAATTATTTTTTCTTTTTGGAAGTATTGCTGCTCAAATTGTATCTGATTTTGATATCGTGGTTACCAGTAGACCTGTACTTCCTCTTTGTTATGCACCATTGGATTATCGATCTTTCACACAATAGTTAGTCCTAATTAAAGGACTGGTTCTTGGCTTCTACAAAACTGATTTAACATAGTATGACTACTTACCTCCTGACTTGATCAATTAGGAATCCTGGTCATCAATGAATTGATAATTGCTTTTAATCATCTGCATTGACCATTAAGCTGTGAAGATTTTTAAAATGAGTTAGTAGATTAGTGGGGTCTCAAGTCCCAAGTCCCACCTTTCACAATTCAACTCTAATAAAATATAAAATTGGAGCGCAATCAAAAACAAAATATAAGAAGTTGTGAAGTCTTATTTGTCTTCTTGTCTGAACTTTAGAAGAAACCCCATTCAAAAGCCAAGTTAAATTGGAATGTCTTACATTTGATAAATATTTATTAGAGTGTTGGGTACAATCAATCAAGATGGGAGCGAATTGAGGTCTTTGATTGGGAATTCATGGTTGAATAATTTTGATTATTGTCTTTATCCTTAAGAGATAGCATTGCATTTATGCCTTCTGTATTATTGATTTGGATTTGCTATATTTATTGGCAGGATTCACATAAGCCTGATAAGTCCTTGAAGAGCTCTACTAAACCAAGATATCAACCACCAGCGAGGAAAAGCCCAAGTAATTCTATGACCGTAAACATTGGATGAATTAGAACTTGTGCCAAAGATAAATATTTTGAATCCCATTTGATAATCGACTAATCTTTTGTTTAACAAATTTGTATACCTCAAAAGTTGACTTGGTAGCTATGTTGATTGGCAGCATCCATCGGTAGAGGTAGAATTGGGCGTGGAGTATCAGATGCAGCTGATAAGTTTGCAAGCATGACGATTGCTTCTCATCGGCAGTCTGTGGGACAGCCTAAGCCACCTCCTATGAAGGCTGGAGTACAGTGGACTGGTGAATCTGGTGGAATGTTTCTTAGATCAAACCAACAATTTCCACCCGGCAGAAATTATCCAAGGAAAGTTGTGGGATGAAAAAGACAGGCTCTTTTCAGAGATTATAATGTGTTGTGTTGGAATATCCTTAATAAGAAAGTTTGAACTCGTGCATAATATGTATTGGAGTGTCTCAAAGCAAACCTACATAAGAGTGGTGGTCTATTGTTCTGTTTTTTTTTTCTTTTTTCTTTTTCATTCTTGTTTGTTTGCTGTTATGCTGATGATATATTTACACTGGTAGTATTAATAAATAAATGGCGTGTTTTGCCTTCATGAAGTATCAATTTGTTTTGGCAGCGATTTTTGTTTTGAGATGACTAGTGGATCTCGTATATTTGCCAACCGTAAAATCCCCTAGAAAATTTGCCTTCTATTCTGCGGTGGAACTTGGAATTAACTCTAGCACTCCAGGTTTGCCCACTACTTAATAGATTAGGAAAAAAAAGGGTGCTAGATGTTGCTGGAAATATGGTGTTGAACGTCTTTGGAAGGCAATGAGTGATGTCCAATCAGGCAATGAAAGTTGGTGCGTTTACTACTCTCTGTGACCGATTTGGTTTTGTTGGAAGTTCTTTCGAAGCAAAACTTTGTGTGTATGTGACTCTATCTGGTTGATCGACCTATACAAGTTAGGGACCATGATTTCCTTTTTTGAGCAATACAAGGAATCAATTACAAATTTGTGTTCGTATCTTGATTAAAGTTCTGCTTCCTCGAACCTGTTTTGCAACTTTACCTAAATGTAAACTTTGCCTTCAACTATGTTCTACTTCTATGTTAGAATCGGAGATCTTTATAGGAATGTAATACCTTGAGTTTTTGGGAAAAGATACAGAGACCACTACCAAGAAGCCTGGAGATCAGAACTGTCGCCTTAAGAAGAAAAACGTGATTTAACGGGTTCTCGCTGTAACATTAGGTTGAGAAAATAGCACAAAGGAATGCCTTTCACTAAATCAGTTAATGTAGGTGAATTGCCAAAGGATAAAACTGACAACTTAGTTGAACATTTCTTTCTGTGCCAGGAGAGCAAGATGATATAAATCCTTGTCTTGACAAAAGGAGCTAAATAATCGAGACATAAAGGTTACCTGGTTCAATTAATGATCACACTTTGTTTGGCAAAGGTTTTACCACACACTACAAGCGAGAGGACGCAAGGCACAAAGGTTGCTCTTAATCTCTTTAACCACGTTACACCACAACTAACCCGTAAATTCTACAAGAAAGAGTGACTCAAAAAATGTAAAAACAAAAAGACATGATTCCATTCAAACAAAGAAATATTATTGAAATAGCTCCATCCCAGAGGCCAGAACCAATGGGAGATACAAAAACCTTATGCCAAAGTTCTCATTTGCACTGAAATTTACTAATTGATCAATTTAAATCAATGAGTTGCTCTCAATTAAAATGATGCACTGGAAATGTCAGCTTTCAGTTATGTTGGTAATCTTCTTGCTTTCAACAGTGCACACCATTAGAAAAGTAGTATTGTAGAAGGCTTCATTAGCGTCGCAATTAAACATGCATAATCTTCTAAAAACAAATGATCTCAATTCCATTCCTTTAGTTATAACAAGTGTGTTGCAGAGAACAAACTCTGATAGGTAAGTTGAGAGCCAAAAAACCCCAGAAAAGCCCAAAGACTAGTGGTACAAGTCTTCCAGGAGGGAAAATTAAAGGAGGCCCTAAAAAATAAATGTTGTAATAAAATGGTAACCAGGACAACAATAGAGACAAAAATTGGACACATAAGGACATCCCAGGGGAAATGTTCCATTACAAAAAATGGATTCGTCACCACAAGTGATGGTAAAATATGACTTGGTCCAGAGTGAAGAAATACCGCGCAGTTCAGTGGTGTAACCATCCAAAGTGGTGGCAAGTCCATTCTCTGTAAAGACAGCATGCCAGGAAAAACAAAACTGACATGAGTTTTGTTTTTTCTTTTGGGGTAAAAGGATATCCAGCTGCACCCTGAAATCTTTACTGCAGCAATTTAAGTTAAGTAAAAACATACTTTATAGGTATTGAGCTTGTATTCTTTCTCTATTCTGTTCCCACCAGGATTTTGCGTGCACTTCTCCGAATTGTTCACGACTGTGAATCAGAAAGAAAGACAAAATGTCAACGAAATATAAACATTATATAAAGGTAGAGTTATCAAACTTGATTAAGATGAAGCCATCCCATTTAGTTCACAACGAATGCAAAATCATAACACCAACTAAAAAAGAAAACCAGAAGAGCAATTTTCATATAAATACAAGCAATAAATCCTTTCTTAAAATCTAATCTTATTTTTCATGTTGTGTATGTGTATCAGGTGCTCATGAAGGGAGAAAAGAAGATAAGGTGATGATATATAAACTTTAAAATAAGTTTTCCTTCAATAGTTTAGCCACTGAAAAAATGCAACTTAAAAAGTGAATAATAAGGATTTCCATTACCTGAATCTGACACGCCTGAGCTCCCTAGTGCCATCGGCTAGTTGTCTGATTGTGATGTAAACCCCTGGCTCATCTTGCTCAACCCATTCTGCCTCCAGGTCACTGGCATTGCTAACTGAAATAGAAGGCTCATCTCTAGATGATGTCGTTGTTCGTGATGCATCTATAGAAGTTGCCTCACCTTTTGGTCCACCCATTCCATAGCCACTTGAACCAGCATGGTAGTGATAGTTGCCACCGTGATCCATATTGTCAGATGGGAAATAACCTCTGCTTCCAGCAGGTTTGTAGTAGTTTCTTGGGGTAAATGATGGAGCCATAGGGCTTTCCCTTGCAGATTCCATCCTTGAGTAGGAAGAGTCTCTTCGCTGATTAAGAAAACAATTATCTGTCAGTAAATTTTTCAAGATACTAAGGGTTTTTTAAGATGACGAGGAACTCTATATATAGTAGTGTTGTGAAAAATCAAAAGAATATATATTTTTTTATTTAGAAGAAAAAGACAGAAAAGAGGGAAAGCATGAACGAGGCATTTGCTGCAATAATGTCTCCAAAACCATCTTTTCATAGTAAGGTTCTGGTATGTCATTTATATTCCAATGTCTTATCAGCTGTTTCAAGTTGACAGCAAAGAGATTGGATACAAAAAAGGGCACTAGAATCCCTTAGTTCAAATGCTTGAAGCTCATTGCTATTCTTTGTCCCTCGTTAAACTGCTCTTTCCACTGTCAAGTGCCATCAGTGCATTGATGGAAGTCTAATGAATACATATTAAATTGAGAAAGAAAGAACTCAATAGCTTTAAAAGGAAGGTCCAGAAAGCGCCAATCTTCATACTGCTTTAAAATGGTCAAGGCTTAAAAATGATTATAAGAAAACATTTCATGATCAAGGAAGCTGGAATTGGAAATGTTTTGCAACCCGACTCCTAGATGCACTATTATTTCTAGAGATTCTTTTAAGCAGCATAATAAGATAGAAGGGTTTACCTCATCCTCAGACCTTGGGGGAGTGTGAAGTGCTTGACGATTAAATCTCTGGACATTATAGAGCTCCATGATTCTGTCGTAGTTCTCTCCCCACCATCGCTGAGCTTGCCACTTATTAAACATCTCTCGGCTTCAAAACCCAAATGCCTGAGTAATGTCAGTTTGTGCTTATACTAAGCCAACTTGAGTTTTATAAAAAAAAAAAAATATTTCTGTATATTTGCAAAACCCTATTTCAAGGGTTCTCTAATATATTTAGTTCATCCATCTGTTTGGATTTTAACTAACATATACTATTAGAAGTGAGCTCAAGACAGTTTGTTAAGGATAGCTGATGCACACCTGAAGCGAATACGCTTTAGATCATTTCCTCCATCAGGGAGAGACACGAAAGTAATGTGAACACCTGGCTCCACCTGTGCCATCCATTCCTTGGGCTCAACCTCATCCTCCAGTACCACATCACAAGACTGTGCTGAGATAGACTCTGCTCCACCAGGGGTCCGATCACCACCATACAATGCAGAAAATCTAGAGTCAGCTCTAGTGCCTCGATGATGACTGGGAGTAGTAAAATCCCATGCAGGGGTTGAGCTTGAGCTTCCACCTCCAGAATAGGGGTATGGAACCCCTTCTGAAGCTGCATCGAAGTCAGGGTAGGCTCGCTGTCCTTTCCTGTGGCTGCTGGGACCTGGGAAGGGCTTGCATTGCTTATAAGCGCCAGACATTTTCAGTGCCATATCCTTGATCTGAACATTATTGAAATCCTTGGTTGATTAGAATTCCGAAAGAGCTTATCATTCATTAAAAATAACAATTAAGTTTTCAATACAGATGTAAAATTGTGAAAGAACAAAACTTAAGGGAGGTCATGAAAAGGATTGCAATTCCAAATTCATTTATATTTATTTCAACACGTTTGTTTCACGTACATACATCCTGAATATAACTCATGCACCTAGCCAAAAGAATGCACCGGGTTGCTTCCGTTAGATAGTCATAAAATGCCGAGATAATGATGCAGCTGCATATAGGCTCGAATGCATATATAGGAAAGAAAAGGAATTGGACTTTTTGTCTAATGGAGTGATGCATTGTCATTTGGCAGGAGATCAAGTTGATGCTTGTAGAAATATCAGAATTAAAACAGAAACATTAGAAATATCAGAATTAAAACAGAAACATCAGAGGGGTTGAATCCAATTTACAGAAATATCAGGCGATGCCTGTTTTCTGTTGAGAATATTGAAAATCTCAGGAAAGACTCATTTTAAATATTCAAAGGACTGCTGTGCGTTCTGAAAGCATTGAAAATCTCAGGAAAGACACAACAGCAAGCCTACAACAACCATTTCTCATTTGAATAAGGTGCCTTTGTTCCAAAATGAACTGTATTGCCTGTCGCAGAAGATGACAGGAAAGTGGACACTGAACCATCTCATCGGATGAATAAACGGTCACTGGCCCGTACTTACGGATAGTAGACAGCCACCGAGACAGGGGCAAGAGGCCAAAAAAGGGGAAATTGTTTTTGAAAATGCAGCAGTGAATACTGCAAGGCGAAAACCAGAGTCAACTCTAGTGTCTTACCAAATCTGAAATGATTAGCAGAGCAAGGCAGATTCTTGTACTTTTCTGCTGCATACTATTAGACGCTAGCCTCTCATTTCATTGCCCATTAGCAGAGCACGGCATATTCTTCCTTTATTCATTCTATTATATGATATAATGAACTTTTGAGGTACAGTGGAAGGACAAGAATTCAATGGTGGGTCAGATCAAGGACAATTAAGTGTCTTCTCGAAAATATCAAGAATCTTTTCCTAAAGATCCCCCCTGTTGCTCAATGTGGAAATATGTTGTTTCATTATGTTGACCTTCATTTACCTATTTTATAGCAAACTTGGCCAATACAATGTTACGAGTATTTTGAAAAAAATTATATTTATTTGTTGAGAGAGCATTTCAGGTTTTTTTTTCCCAAAAAAGAAATTGAAAGGGGAGTAAATTATAAATTAGTCCCTCAAGTTTCACAAAATGAATTAAATAGTATTTTATATTTTAAAAATTAATTAATTAATCTCTTGACTAAAATAGTTAATTTAATATTATTTTGTTTCAAATAATGCTTTTTTTCCTCCTCAATCTTTCCATTTTTTTTTTACTATTTTTTATTTTTTCTACTTCTTTAAAAAAACAAAATAACTTGAAAAAAATAAAAAACTAAAAAGATTGAGTTATAAATAAATTTAAAAACATAAGGACTAATTAATTAGTTTTTTAAACTAAGAAATATTTAATTCCTTTAAAAAAAAAAAAAAACTAGAGAAAACAATTTATAATTTACTCATTGAAAGTGGGTTAGCATTGGGTCCAACCCAAAATTCCTGGAATCATTAGACTTCTAAACTACAATAAAACAACAAAAGGATCCGAGGTCTGAAGGAAAGGCTAATGGTAAATGGCATCTTAATTGATGGTGAAAAAGATGTCACCGCTACCAAGCTATAAATTGTGGTCAGATGGGTTGGCACCACTCCATAGAAAGAAAGCTGTATTACAGTCTTGTGAGATTCTTAACGTCATTTTTACTGTTTACTGCAGCACTGCTTTTGAGTATTCAGTTTTGACAGCTGCTGTAGAGTAGGCACAAGGTATTCAGAGGTTTTTTTACCAGCTATAGGCACCAAAAAGTGGAATAGGGTTTTACGGTTACAAAAATCTATTTAATAATAATAATAATAATAGCAGTCTTAGGAGACCATGTATGGAAAATAATTCAGAAAAAGAGAAAGCATCCAAGTAAGCAAGCATCAGGTAACCACGCGGGACCAAAAGGAAAGAAGACCACAAAATATTTCAGTAGTCCGTACTCACACAAGAAATCTCTCTCTCCCCGTTAGTATATTAAGTTTGAGGGGAGACCATAGACAGACAGATGTAAACGTGAAAGATGGCAAAAGAAAGGAAAGGATGGTCCCACACTGGACCCCACTATATCAATCCCAACTGCATAAACAAGGAAAAAGAGAAAACCACAAAAAGCAAAACACATACGTGCTACACCCACCGTATGATGTGTAGAGTGTTTGTCTTTTTCTCTCTGTGCTTTGCAAGCGAGGTGTTATTATAAGGATAAATATAATTTCTGTCTTGTAGATTTCTATCCTTATGGTTTAATATTTTCCAACACACACACACACGTGTATATATATATATATATATATATTGGAGCTTCAAGTTTTACCCTTATCACTGAATAGCTAATGAAATACAATAATGAACCCACTATCTGATTTTCATTTACATCTTAATAAAGTAACTAGTAGAATAAAATTTTGAAAAATTGAAATTTCCAAGCTACATTATAAAATTTTAAATTATAGGAACGGAGGTGGAAAATTGGTGAGCTTATGGGGGATAAAAATGAAATTTACCCTTATTAGAATAATGTAATGGATAATATAAATTGTACCTGTGAAGTAAGGCTTTTGACGGCTTCTTTTGTACTTGGGGTGCCACTTCCACGAGCTCCTCCTTCTTCTCCTCGTCCATCCTCGGCCGCTGGCTTGGTGCACGCTATGCACGTCAACATCTTCTCTTTTTTCACAAGTTTTTAACCCTGCAAATTATATAACATTACACACTGTGTTGTTATTATATATATGCTGACGATGATTTCTATTTTTATCTCCCTTTGGTTTTTTATAGCTTTATCACTGTTTTCAGAAACAAAGTGAATGATGATGGCAATGTGTTTGACCAGAATCTTGAATAAAAATACGGATTTGTAGCATGTGGTCATAAGATCAACATCAACTGTAACAGCATTTAAAACCAACTAACTTCAATCCCCAGAGAAAAATATAAAAAAATTCAAAAGCTGATCATCTGAGCTGATTAAAAGTAGTGTCAACTACATACAAGACGTTGAATTTATTTATTAATTTTCTACAGATTTCGTTTATGGCAACCGGTAAGTATCCAAGTGGGGTATTTCATTGGATGGTACAAGAGTCAGATTACCATTACAGCCAATGAAGGTTGGATTATGCAAAGGGTATACGTGGTCAAATTGATCAGGTATTAGAACATTCTTGTATCCATTTGATGATGCACACTGTCTTCTCTGGGCCCTAACCCCACGACAAATTAATACTACTCCATATGTTACTGTTTTATTTAAAGAGGGGCAGATAGAAAGGTATAAGCCGATGCTGCTGCTAGGTTCATGCCCAAAGAAACAACAAGGGCAAAACACACACGAATCAGTCCAATCCGAAGGAATTAGGTACCAAAAAAGACAAACTAATCATGATTTCAAAAACAAATCATGGTGACTTAATCCAAATGAAGTGAACCATCATAAGAAAGAATTTAACGATTTGATTTTTATTCTCAAATATTAAAGAAAAATGACGTTTTTCTGGGGAAGGACGACAAAAGGGCAAAAAGATAAAGGATGGAGCTCGGGATCGGAGAAACTAATAAAGAAAGAAAACGTAGGGATAGAACAGTGAGTCAATAATGGAAAAAGAAAACAAAATGGAGACATAGCCCCATTTGAAAGCGGTCTGATTAGATAGACTGTGTTGCTCGTGCTTTAATTTACAAACCCAATAAAGAATCAAATTTGTGTAAGCCGAAGTTTCTGACAAACCCTTTAAAAAGCGACAGAGCATTGAATCAGTTGAACTACTTAGCTGGTAATACCAATCAATAATAATCTCTCAAAAAATCAAAAGGAAAAAAAAACCTCAAAAAAGCAAAATGACGGACCAATCAACTAGTGCAAAAGAAATTGATAAAAACAAAAAGAAAACCAAACATATGTATGAAAGCGGTAGTTGAATAGACAGGGAGACAAGGGAATATTTAAGAAGGGAAGAGTAAGCAACATTGATATTTGTTCATGCCGGATATAACATGAAAAGGAAAAATAAATAAATAGGAAAGAAAAGAGAAGAAAAGAAGTATTGTATCATTATTATTCTGAAAACGACTTACCCAAAGCAAGATGACCCCCAAAAAAACACCAGAATGCTGCTGTTGTTCCTGTTTCTCTCTTAGCTGTCTACTTTATGCAAGTACTGATCTTCAAAAACTTGATCACACCTTTGTTTCCAGATAGATAAGTGCTTAATTCCTTGCTTGCTTTCAAGTCTCTCTGTTACTCAGCTCCTTTCAAATTTCACCAACTAAAATAAACTGAGATAAAACAACATTAAATCAGTCAAAGTTTACACCGCTCAACCAAAAAAAAGAAAAAAAAAAGCGCAGAAAGAGAAATGCATATAGAACCAGAAAAGCCACATAAAAATGTTTCTTGAAAACTAACAGCAGCACGATTGGAGATCTTTTGGGGACTAAAATGGATGAGTTTGATTCTAAATCATCAGAAAAGCAAGGAACTCACAGATAGACAAGAAATACAAAGAGTAAAGTCATGCTCTGTTTGGTTGCTAAGAAAGTTCAGTAAGAACTATCAAAAAAGGAAAAAGTAGAATTGAAACCTCCAAATGTTCTACAATAAAACTACTTGCTCAGAATATGCGAATAAAAAAATCTTTAAAACAAAGTACTAAACCCAAAAAAAAAAAATGCTATGTTTTAAACGTTGAGAAAGTGAAGAACAAAAAACCCAGAAAAATAAAATAAACGAAAACTCTTACCTCCTTCTTATCTCGTAAAAATCGATTCTCTGTTGCTTGTGAGAGTTATCAGCAGCTACAAATTCTGGAAAATGAGAGTAAAACAAAGATGAATGGAATGGCTCTCTTAGTTAGGCTGCGCCCCGACCCGAGTCCCCACGTCCTCTTTCCCTTTTTAACAGATTGCAAAGAGATAGCATAAAATCCTCTAACAAATCTTCATGTAATCAATTTTCTCTTCACTGCCAACAGCCATAATCCCTTTGATTTCGCTTGTAATTTATAGAGTACTAACTCAAAAAGAAAAGGAACACTCTTTCTTTCTATATAGCTAGATAACTTGCTAGAAGAGTGAAATAAAATATAAGGGAAAGTGAAAATGCCTCCACCGATACAAAATGTAGCGATATATCGGCGAAATGTATCGATTTGGAGTTTCCCTCTCGATTTCAGTACGTTTTCAACGAGTCTTTTGTGAGGATTTGAAATGATAAACTTACAGACAAGGGAAAGGAACAACCAGCGATCCTCGTATTTATACAGGAGAGAGAGGAAAGTGACGCCATCAATTTCCTACGTTACTTAACGGCTAATGTGTATCCACGGAGGATAATGAGTTACTCTTGTGTCGATGAATAAAAAAGAATAAATTAAACTTGTAGACCATCACGGCTCAAATTCTTTTCTTTTCTTTCTTCTTTTTCTTTTTATGAAGGTTCAAACTCTATTAGCTGTTATGGTCTTCCAGGCTACGAAAATTTAATTACTTCCTAATGCTTTAAGAACTTTCTGAGACTTAGGGCCAAAAATATGATATTTGATTTTACCAAAAAAAGAAAAATCACTTATATATTTACCGATAATTACAAATATGTTAAAAGTAAACACCAATATGCAATTATAATAATTTGATTTATGTACTCAAGGATTATTCAAAACAATTGTGTCTATCTTGATTATGCTATTTAGATCATATTATATGATACAATTAGAATTTGTTAATTCTATTGAAAATAATGCCATAGGAATCATGGTATTTGTAGGGAAAAGAAAAAACTAAAACCGTTGAGTTTCCTTTTAAAAAATGTTTTGAGACAGAAATTATTATTAAAGAAATGGTCTCGATAAATGAGAACATACGGGGCCCGCATGTCTAGGTGATGTAAGGAGAGGGGATCTCTTACGTGTATTGTAAGTAGCTTAGGTGGCATGGTGCGATTGGACGGAAACCATATGGAGAGATTGGTAAGGCTGGGATTTGATCGTAAGATATTTTTCAGGCTGAGACCTGAGATGGAGAACCAATCCCGTCGACGTTTTTTACGGAAGGGTGGTAGGTAAATAATTTTAAGTTGATAACCAATCCCGTCGAGGTATTATTATTATTTTCTGTAAAAGAAAAGATGCAAAAACAAGAAAAAAATTGTAAAAAATGAAAGGTTTTATAAGGTTTTACTCCTTTTATATTTTAAATTTAACCAAATCTATTTTATTTTATATACTATCAAAATTAATACACATGTTATAAAGATATCATTCAATCTATCTCAACTCGGGCATTGTAGGAGGAGAAAAAAAAAAAAAAAAACTAATCTCTCTCTCAGTGGGTCTGCATGCAGTTGAAATTCTATGCAAGAAAACAGTCAATCACGAACGAAAATCTACACTATCAATACAAAACCAAAAAAAAAAAAAAATTATATGCAGACCATGTTAAAATATTTTTTTCTCTTATATTATTAGAAATAAAAAAAATCAGTTTTACTCTAATTTTTTTTTAAAATACGATATTAATCAGGGGTTGCTATAATGGACACGGGGGCAAACACCTATGCCCTTTGATAAAAAAAAAAATTGTTTAACGGGCAAAAACATGCGTTCTAGACTCAATAAATAATAATTAATTAACTAATATGAGGGCCACACATCTGTTATTAAGTTCACTTGATATTATCTGCTAAAATTGTAGACTGAGGTATTTGGCTCCTTTGATACATAGTTCCGAGTAAAAGAATTATATTAACATGATTCTGACAGAAGATCTCTTTTTATTTGTACAAACTCAATATTACATTTATTTCTATCTTGATTGCGTCAATGTTGTTCCATCTCATCATAACATTAGCAAATCGTCAAATTCAAAAGCGCTTATGAAAAATGCAACGGTGGTGATCTTACCATCTCGCATGCAACTAATAAAATTTAGTTACGCTAAAACCGACCCGAAATATACGGACGATAAGAAAATTATATCTTTGAATCGCCTTACAGAATTAAAAGATCGAGAAACATAAATTATTGACATCGATTTATCAAAGTAGAGAAATTATACACTTTGAAAAGTGTTAAAAAGGCGTTGCATATGTGTTACAATTTACCAATGACTCAATAAAGCTTATTCTAGCTACTTCGTAGCTAGGTGTCGTGCGTGCCAATGGTGATCTATCTGGTAGCATATGATCCAATGATTCTAAACTCGATCGAATGTGAACCTTTTCCATTGCTTTCTGTAACGGGCTTTATTCAAACTTGATAATTTTACTAAAATCAGCGAGATCTCTCGCATAAAGGTTTGTTGTGGATTTATTGATCAGAAAGAGAGAGAGATCAAAATAGATGATCTCCATTGAATCCCTTCGATCACAGTACCACTTGTACAATGGGGCATGAAAAGTTGGCTTGCAAGAGAAGTTAATTCCACACCAAAAACAGGGTCCCTATATTTATGCAACATGAAAATTCATCAGCAATTAAGAAATGAAATACTGGAAAAGTCCCAGGACGTGCAAGAGTCCTCTCCTGCAAGATAGGAGGCAGACGCTCCTATAAGAGACGTACAGTGGAGTAGTAGGTTACCTCCTAGGAGTGGCGAGGACAAGACTATAGAGACGCACGCCTGTTGATCAGACAACTTTTTCTCTGTTAAAACACTAGAAAGAGAAGCAATACGTACAACGAGGTGTCTACACCTAATTAATATTCAGTCTGTAGTTTATTTCTGCCAGAGTCACATGAACTTGGCATGTACGTAGACAATAAATCGAAACATAAACCGCTAATTTCGTAGATTGAAGTTAAATTTGCGTAGTGCTTGGATAAAATTTTTCTTCCTTTTTAGTACCTCTACTTAGATAGAAATAAGTAGCATGGCCAAAAGCAAAATAACACAATATATATGATAGGATATCTCAAAAAACGTCCAGGCACAGTATTGTGCACTAAAGGAGAAGGAATCCACGCTGTTAAAAACATCCAAATTGGAACCATGCAAAATCTGTGATCTTGTCAAAGGATAACAAATAGTTGGTTCCGAGAATCTAAGAGGGAAAAAAACAAAGAACGCAAAGATCTAGTTTTAGCTTTGCTAAGAGATGTCTTATTAACTGTATTATAATCTGACTAGAAATGATACGGTCAATGTGTGCAACTCAAAGAACCAGCTTTGTAAATCATTGGACAGTGAGATTTAGTACGGTTAGTAAACATTTCGTCACAGACTAACCGGTTGTGAGCGGTGACTACACATGGCAGGGTTTCCGTTTATAAATCTTGGGCAGTGTCCTCTACACCACGGAGATGTTCACTGGCTGTTGTCGGTTGTCAGCAGTAATATATGGTTGCTATTTGCTGCTTTCACAAAGAAGAACGAAAAATAATATATATGTGTGCGTGTGTGTTTTTTTTTGCAATATTATGTCTATCGCAAGCTTGTGCTTCCATCGCTTTAACTTTAAACCCCTTCTGTTTTTTGTCCTTAGCTTTATTCCTGTCCTAGGGCTGGGGCTAACTTGTCTTTAAGCAAAGAATGCCTGGAATAGAGGGACAACAAAACAAACCCCTTATTATCTCACAATCCCTTCCTTCTCTCCCTAAGAACCACACTTGCTTCCACAATATTCTCTCTCTAGCTAGACTGTCATCAAACAGGCTTTTTTTTTTTTTTTTTTGATAGCTAATATGGGTTTTCTCAGTATGATGAGTGTGTTTTTGCCACGTGGTAAGATACGGAGAGTTAATCTTTACCTAAAGATGTTCTCACAAGATCTTCTCAAGCAAGAAAAGCATAGTCAAGGTCCAAAGCCACTCCATTCCACCCCCTCATGCCCACCCATTACCACATCAGTTTTTTTTTTTTTTTTCGGTTATCTTCTTCTTCTTTTTTTTTTTTTTTTTGTTAGGAAGCAAATTCAAAAATCCATCACTTTAATTACAACTTTTTTTTGTTATTCTTTCACGTACCTTTATCTAGTATCTATGCGTAAAAAGAAAGATCAATATTGGGAAAACGAAGGTATACCAATTTACTAGCACAGTACGTTAGACCCATCGGAGCCATAGGATTGATCGATAAATATATATATAATGATGTTTTTATTTGCTCCCTCAGAGCGGAGTTGCTCTTGTAAATTGTAATGCATGATAGTAACAAATAATTAATGTGACTTAACTATTTCACTGTGTTTTTTTCCCCCAATTAGTCTACATCTTGTATTACACAATTAATGATCATGGTTTTGTTTTACACAGTTAATGACGATGATTTTGTATTACACAATAATCATGATGATGATGAGTACAGAAATTCAAATCGAAAGTTTCAGATATTTTTTTTTATATATCTAGACATTACTTCTACGTCTTGGCAAGTAACAGTATACCTTACATAAAAAATAGTTGACTTGCGGTACATGGTTCTACAAAGAAGATTTAATCACATTGCTAGGTAGTCCAATTAGTACTGTACGTATGTCATTCTAATTAATATTCGAGATACAAATCATTTTTCTCTCTTTCTAAGAACAAAAAGGCATCATGCAAATCTTCCAATTAGGACCGATAATTATTGGATTTGCTGGAAAAGAAACCGTCAAGCTATGTAGATTGTTGATTAATGTGATTTCTGTTTTATTTAAATACTATTCAATGATTAAGGTATAAAAAAGTCTCCCTCCCATCCCAAATGAAATTCTAAGTGAACCACCTGAATCTCTTTTTTCCAAAGCATTAAAAAAATGGTATGAAAGGTAAGGTTGCGATTAGACTTTGTTTTAACGTTAGGAATGTTGGGGTGTTGAAGCAATGATATATAAATATGATGTGTAATTTGAAAAGTGATTATAAAGCTATTCAGCGATCCACTCTCCCTAAAGCAAAGATATCTCTATCTCAATCCCCAAGTCTTTCCCTGTTTCCAATGTTTGATTAACTTTGATTCTGCATATGTTTCTTTTGATTTATTGTTTTTTCCGAGACCAAAACATATACTATGCTTAACCCATGCTGCATGTTAAAAGAAGAGACCAACTGGATTGTTTCGAACAAACTAAGCTTTTACTACCGTATCCGTACATCTTCCTTGCATGCATAAGGTGCTAAAAAAACAAAGCATATTTGGATTCATTAACGGGCATTTTTGCTTGAAGAATTGAAATAGAGAGGTTTGTGTGGTGTGATCATTTATGATTTTTGTTTTCAAAATTTTGGTAGTTATATATATATATATATATATATATATATATAGAAAAACACAATCAACAATTAATGTCATAAATTCGAGATTCATTTTGTTTGATTTTGAAAATTTTAGCAAATAGTTAGTTTTTCAAAAAAAATAATAAACAAAAGCTTTTTTTGTTTCCATTTTCAAGTTTTTTTTTTTATAATAATAATAAAAATATTACTAGACAACTCCTTGCCTATTATCATAAAAGCAATTAAAATCATTTAAATTCAGGAATCTGATCAATTATGCTCATGTTACTTGATTCGTTTACCCTTTGATCCTTGTGACCACAGAAACTATCCACGGTGAAGTTACAAGAAGCCAAGGCATCAGGGCAGGAATTTCGTTTACTTCCATATAAAAGTTGCACTCCAGATACTTGGCTGAAACACTAATAAAAGCATATGTTCTCATTTTTTCAACCTGACTTTGAACAATATCCTATTTTTGTGTTCCTTGCTAACTCGTGAATTTTTAGTAAATAAAAACTCCGAATTACAAGTGTTCCAAACAAATTACTTATGTTAGAAAAATTAACAACTAAGTTCATATTGCTCATTTTAACAGATTTTAAGTAAGATGGCTATCGATCGTGTCCAAGGAGACACCATAAGGATTAAAGTTTAAAGTTCAACGACAAAATTCTGCGTAGGGGAATATAGTGGTGGGATAGTCTCATGTTTGACGAGAATTATCACACATGAAACGGACGCATAATTTGGGTGGTGGTGGTGGGGGTGGGTGGGTGGAATTCAATTTTGGGCTCATGACAAGCCAGAACATTTCTGAGGCCCATGCATGTAACAGATCCCACATGGGCCTAAAAGGATACGCCATATCCTTAGCTGCTCATTTGATTGGTCAAACAGAAAACCACGTCAAGCCCATAATGCCTCTTCTGAAAGCATATGTTGAGTTCAAATATTTTGGTCAGATGGATAACTCTTTCTGAAAGAGGGATGGAAGTACAGTGTGGATGTCTTAAATATGAACTTACAGATTCATTCATGACTACCAAAATCGTCTTATTTTTTTCAGTACAAAGGATATCCAAACAGGGCAAGATATAAAGAGACAAGAGCCTACTTCTTGCTAGGTCTCCCCCGGAGAGACTGCCAAAAAACAGGCCAGTTCTTTTTAGCCTCCTTCCAACCCCAAAATGATCCTTCTCTCATTGGATCCCAACTGGAGGACACAATACCATAACTCACACCTAGTAAGGCAGACCCGAAGAAGAAGAATGACACAATAAAAGGCACCCATGTAGGCACATCAATCTTCAAACCAACTTTGAGATAGTAGAAGAATGGGAAGAACAACAGCCCAACAAACAATGGAGCCCCCACTGAGACTCCCATCCTGGTCATCATCCTGTTGGTCACAACTTCGGGTATTACCCCAGCATCTGGTTCTTCTTCTTCTTCATCATCATCGTCGTCGTCATCTTCATCTTTGACTGGCTTTGATTTCTTGGTCTTTTTGCTTCTCTTTGGAGGTTGACCAAAGCCCCTTGCGCTATTCAAGGTTGCATAGAGGGCCGAGGGATGTGACAAGCAAGATTGATTTTGGCAAAAATTTGGCCTGGGAACTGGAAATTGCAAGGTTTGTTTGGCTGGAATAAGCGAAGAAGGGGAGTTTAAGGCTTGTTCACATATACGATCAATCTAAAAGCCAGATGCAAACCATAATTAACTAATTGTTAATAGACAAACTATCACAGATTCAAAGAAATTCAGCACGCTAACAAATCTAAATGATGTTTGAACAAAAGATATCAAACTTCTAGCTAGTTTGATTAAGAAATTTAATCACACTGAGCAGAAATGTCTTGGAAGAAAAACTAATTGTCTAAACCTCATCGGACATATATAGCATCACAATTTCACAAATTGCATTTTATTCCTTGTATACTTTTGGTTCACAAAGCTCAACTAAATCAAAGCTGTAATATCAAATCTTGTCCAAAATTTTTAACCAAGAAAGCGCCCCAAATAAGTCTTTTCTTAAATGCTGTCTAATATTTTCTCTATACTCTCTCCTCAAGAAGTATCTGAAAAGCTTAAAAGTACTGTTTAATTCAATTACTCGTTGTGCTTCTAATTTTTCATAGCGACGCACTATATAGATTGATATGCAAACTGGTATTCCTACGGGGCAGAAACGCAAACTTTTGAAGTTTTTTTTTTTTTTTTGTCTGAAGAGTCCTGGGCTTTCTGAAATATGTAATGTACTTATTTTCTTCCACCCACTATAAACATAATCTTTCACTGATTATTCAAGAAGAACCTAAATGCAAAAGAGCATTACTGCAATGACCTTTTCAAAAAAAGTTCCTTGGTTGGTTCCTAACCAGAAATCCATAAAATCCCACCAGAATTGAACAAGAACGATACACATTCGTGAACCCAATAACAATACTGACCAATAAATTAAAAGCAAAAATTGAAAATGACAAACTGTATCCAACAATAAATAAGAAAGAAATCCTTGGGCTTGATAAACAGATAACAACATCTTCTCTCTATAATCTACAAATTATGGAGTTTCCAGGAAGAAAGATTTCAATACTTTGTAATTATTACCTTGGAAAAAATTGACGTTGAAGAGAGTTTGTAAGGCCAAGAAAATGGTGATGTTGAGGATGATAGTCTCACAACTCCAGCTGCTATTTCAGCCATTCACTTCTTCTTTATCTCTCCCTCTCTCTTGTTTTTGTGCACTGAGTCTAGATAAGACAATTTAGCTAATACTAAACCTTAACTTCCGCATCGAGACATGGATGCAATCTTGTTAAGCTCTTCCTCAAAAAACAGTCGCACATAAACAGAGGGGCTGAGTGTGGTGGAAAGTGGGAAAGGATAAGCCTACTTGCATGTTTGATGTGACTTCATGGCGAAACACTTTTTGATTTTTCTTTTGAGCCAACCACAGATCAGACCACCAAGGCCCCCATATGTTCTGAATTTCAAATCATATCCTCCATTACAAACTTTCTTTTAATTTTACCACTCAAATATTTCTCTTTGTATTAAAAGATTTTTTAAGAGCTCAATTTTTTCTTTACCGTGACAAAATAGTATTCTTTTTTTGGCTTTTAAGAAAACCGATGTTTGTAGGGCTTAAAATATAAAGTGAACGTTTATTGAGTTGATATATTTTTCATATTATCATTAAGGATTTGATCTCATAAAAAATTAAAAAAATAATTTTTTTGTGGATACATCATTTTAAGTATGGATGATATGTTTAAAATTTTAAAATCTGATCAGAGAAGAACTTAATATTAACATGAAAACACAGACCTGAAGCTTAATTAGACATCTAAATACTTAAGATTATTAATTTCAAACAAAAAGATAATTTGACATTAAATGCTTGTAATTTGAAATAAAATGTTAGAACCATCTTTTTGTTTTTGGCCTTTTAATATAAAGTATATATATATATATATATATATATATATATATATATATATTTCAAGCTGTAAATAAATAAAATAATAAATATTTTCATTTTATTATTTTTTTCTTTTTTCATACTTTTTTCTTTTTTTACCTAATGCTGTATTCAATTATTTTGTTGCTCACAGCTCAGCTCTGCTTTAGGCTCCACATCAATTGAATTGGTGTACACTCCATAACGAATCCTTCCATAATTTTTCAGAGCTTACTGTTTCAAATAAAATAAAGTTTCAAACCAGAATTTTATATGGAACTAAGATTACAAAGCAAATTGGTAATGCTTTTTCCATCCAAGATTGCTACTTATGGGAGCGACAAAGACTAGTGCTTTAACAACGAGAGAAAGACTTTTTTCGGTGTCTAATCTTTCTTCTTTTTTTTTCTTTTTCTTTTTTTTTTTCTTTTCTTTCTGTTTTGGTATCTAACAGTTAGATTTTTTTATGATTGACTACCCAAATTCTGATTTTTTACTTGTTTTATTATCAATTCACCTTAATCATAATCTTATTGAAGTATTCGACGAGATATACGAGTGTGACAAGAAAAAAATATCATGTGATAGTCAATCTTACCACATCAATATCTCATACTCTCATGTAGCTATGGACACTAAAAAAAAAAAAAAAAAAATGAAAGTTGGGCACTAAAAAAAAAAAAAATTAAAGGCTAGATATCAAATAAGAATTTTTTTAAAGAAATTTATTGTCTTGAGATAGCAAAATTAGTCCAACAATTTCTAATAAATATTTTTCATATCATACTCGTGGTATTTTTTTACCTATCAATGGTAATTTTTAGTCATCTGTATCATTTAAAAATTATTTTTTAAAAATTCTAAACCCTTTTACATGTATAGACAAATTTAAAATTATGTCATTTAATCCAAATATATATAAGGTCCAGTTAAAATTAAATTTAGAAAAATAAAAGACATATAACATTTAATTATGATCTAATTATGATTGTCATTTGTAAAATAAAAGACATATCATGGGTGACATAACTTTGTTGTAACCAATAACTTACCGAATTTCTTATAGTAAGTTGAGATGAGATAAAATCGACATAAATAAGTTTAGTGATCAAGCTTTTTGATTGGAATGTTTAAAGTGCAATATTTTTTATAATGATGACGGTAATGATAGAAATAAAAAATAAACTATGAATTAAGGTAAAAAGTATATGCATTGTTAAAATTGCTTGTGCAATTAGTTTAATAATAAGAAAATATGCATGCATATGATTGTTGATGTTTTAGAATTTAAAATTATATGATTTTTAATATAAAAAAAAGTTTTGAAAAATTATATATATATATCATGGAAGCACAAAAAATGCATGAAATTTATTTATAATAAAGAAAAGATATATAAAATAAATTCCTTGAGAAAACATATTTTTTGTGTCTAGTATATATATATATATATATATATATTATGAAATCATAAAAAATGCATGAAATTTATTTATACTAAAGAAAAGATATATAAGATAAACATTTGATATGAGAAAAGTAAAATAAATTCCTTGAGAAAACATATTTTTTGTGTATATATTTTTTTCTATTTAGGTGCCCAATCGTTATTTTTTTTTTTTCTATTTCAATGCCTAACCTTTGACTTTTTTTTTTCTATTTGAGTGCCAATAAATACCTAAAAGTATAAGACGTGGTAGGGTTGATCTGCCATGTCGTAGATCTTGTCGGACATATCAATAAAATTAGGATTCGAGTAAACTCGGACACCAAAATGAACAAAAAAATCAAAATTTGGGTAGTTAATAATGAGAAATCAATGGTTGGACACCAAAACAGAAAAAAATTGAAAAAATTGAAAGGGTGGACACCAAAAAAACATTTCTCTCCTTTAACAACAATAAGGAGGCTAGATGAGATAGTGATTGAATGAGTTTGGATTTGAAGCTATTTTTGAATTTAAGTAGGGATTGTGCCATAATGGTGGGTAGGTAATGTGTGATGGAGGTTTTATGGCTAATCCGGGTTTTTTGTATAGTGGAGGTTACAACAGTGACCGTGTCGTGGTTGGTGATTATAGTTGTTCTTATGCTTTTTGACAAAACCAGTCTAGATCTTGAATATTGTTTGATTATGTTGATTTCTAGGGTTGCAAATTTATGTGTCAAAAACAACTTGAAATCTACTTTACCAATAATACCCTAATTTGGTGGTCATGCTTATTTTCGGGATTGTAAACTATTAATTGTTCTCCTCATAAATATATTTTGTTCCTCAAAAATTTCATATCAATGTTAATCAAAATTTTAAAAAAGTGTTGACTGAATTTTTACATTGATTTCTAGGTTTTTAACATTGTAGATCGTTGAGTATTTAGGAGAACATTTTTTTACCGCTATTGATATGTCTTCATTTTTGTTATTTATTTATGTATTTATTTATATAAAAAAATTATTTTAAAAAAATGTTTTCAAATATAAAGAAAATGAAAGAATAAAAAAATATGGGTAAACAAAATAAAGAACAAGTGTTGAATTATTAGTACAATTATTACTTTTCGTTACGCGATATTAACCAAAGAAATATGTCATATAGTGATCTTTCAAGCAATCATATAAATATTTTTTTGAAAAATAAAAAATAGAGTTGCCACTTAATTTTTTTTAAAAGGTAAAAATTAAGAAAAATCTAATAAACTAATCTAAGATTTCGAGCTACGGATGTTGATTACACAACTAGAAAAGACTACGATCACTCTAGTGCGCCTTCGTAATGAGGTTACCATTCAAATTTCTAATCCATGAAATATTTTTTTATGCAAAATCCAATTATGTGCCCACTTTTCTATCCTCATTTAAGACTTTATTATCAAGTCTTTTCTAACCGATCTTAAGTAAAGTGATTTAGGGACAGAAATAAAACTAAATCTCTCACTTAAGTTGTTATTAGGCTTTAGAGCTCAATTAAAAGAGTGGAAATTAGGGCTTAAAATCCATTTTCAAATTAAAGACCTCAAATCCTATACAAAGGAATAAAATATATTGAATTTAAAATTTTGGTCAAAGTTCACTTGTCAAATCACACTCGTAAAAATTACAACACTAACAAAAAAGAAGCGAGTTAGTAATAGTTTAAACCATCACTAAAAGTATTGAGTGATGGTTTACCAACGATTTACAAACATTTGGAAAAGCTTTGTTGCCAAGTGATTACCAATGGTAAAACCGTCGCTAAAAGTAAAAAAAAAAATCGTCATAAAATTTAGACAAATTGGTGACTATTTTTCAAGAAAGCTAAATCCATTGCTAAATTTGAATAATTTAGTGTCCATTTTTAAACCATCACAAATTATCAATAATTTGGGATGAATTTTGTGATGATTTATTATAACCAATGCTAAATATAAAGGTAGCGATGGTTATAAACTATCACTAAATTCGTATGATTTTTTTTAATTTTCCAATTATTTATTTCATTGTTTAGAGGAAAAGTTTAATCTATTCCAATTTAACAACTAAAAAAAATGCTATAAATAAGATTTTTCAATATTACAAAATCATTATAATAAATAAAATTCATTAAAATGAAATATATATTAAAACATCAAATTATTAAATTATTTTAAAGTCTCTTAATTTTTTTTTAAAAAAACATAAAAGTTAGGAGTTATAGGTAGGGTTGTCGATCGGAGGATTTGGATGAACTCGCCTCTTTGCATATTTAGCAATATCTCGCCACATCCGTTGCATCATCGAATGATGCTCTCGAGTATACTTGTTGCAATTCATTTGTAGTAGCTAAGAGGGATATAATAGTTCCCTCTAGTTTCTCGATCTTTTCTCGCTTGTCTAGAATTATGAGCCTCTATTTCCTTTCACTATGCCTTAATATCTACATGGAATCGCAATGTAATCGAACTAGAGGATGTATTAACATTAGAGTGATAATGAGAAGCCTATGATGTGAGTCCGTACATCCTCTTCCTCTTACTATCTCCTCCTTCAATAGCCTTCTTAAAAATCTCATTCGTGTCGATATCGGATGATGAATTACCCTTCATCTACCAACTAGCGACCTCCTCCTCGAATATTTTGTTGATGGTCTCCTGTATAATTGCACAAATTTTAATATTAAATAACTATCTCAATGAGTTATAGAAAAGTGACACATATATTAAATAACCTTATAAATTAATTACTTACTTCAAGAATAATGCCCGTTGATTGATGAATACGTATCGATC